AAAAGTCCTTGTTTTAAAACATGTTTAAAGTCAGTAGCAATCTATAGATTCTTAGAAACTATTTGTGATGCGTGAAAATCAACGATACTTTTGTTTTCGAAACGTTTAGAAGTTGGGTGATGTTGTAAATTACCTGAATGTACAATTACGTACAATGGCTTTGACGAAGGGGCAGAAACACCGGCGCTGCTGTCTATATCGTTCAGGAGTACCAACCTGGTTTACTCTTAAGGTGTTTAGTGTAAATGTATAATGTAATATGTATAGGGTAAGTATCAGAACCACAGGTAGTTCAAAATCAGACGGGGCCCTATAGGGCTGATGTTCAGCCGGGGTTACGGGTTAAGCGCAATGAGTCACCGCGGCCTCGAACCAAAGCAGGAGCAGGAACGGGGGGTTTTTAATCAGTAAGAGTCTGACATTCTCTCTCGCCTTACTCTGGGCGGGAGAATTCATTTGATGGTTTTCCCTTGACAAAAAAATGTAGTTCAAAATCAGTCTAAACTCTCATCCGTAATTAAAATTAGAGTTTTGATTTGGACCGTAAAGAAAATCCTTTTGACGATATGCTTATCAGTAAATCTGATAATAAGGATCTTTTGATAGAGAACTATATTCGTATTTGGAAAAGTTGGAATAACATTACAGTTCAATTATTATTTCCTTATTTTACAAATTTCGCTCTCTATGCATTTATTATACGTGCCGATATAATAGTGTAGTATAATCATTCCTGTTAAATATATTCACCAGCGACATCTATCCATACAACGCCAAACAATATTGCACTGTACTGCTGACAGCGCCATCTAGATAGCGTTTTGGAATATATTAAATTCATGACTAGTTGTACTATTTTGGAAATAGATGACACTAAAGTCGCTTGTAAACTTGTAGTTTATAGTTTATAATAAATAAAATAAAATATCTGGTGATATGCAATTATGATCTTTTGTATTAGTTTATGAGTGAATGTATTGATTTGCCATTATTGTAGACAACTTTTAAGGTGACAATTGGATGGTCTAGCTATCGCCATCTATATTTACTTAAATGGATTTTGTAGCGTTTTAAAGTCTATTTTAAAGGGAAAGATTAACAGATGTCGTAACTTTCAGGATCCCAAAGGAGAGTTATTATGCAACAATATGAATCATCACATCACACAGAGCTTCAAAATTAGAGCTTTACTAATGACAAAGAAAGCCACATTACACTATTCATTGTTACAAAATATATATAAATGTATTAGAAGTAACAATCCACTTTTGGCTTCGGGGATGACATATATCTATTATATCTTAGTTTTTTTTTTAATCTTCCTTATTTGATTATAACAACTTAAACGACGGAATGTTTATTTTTTTATTTTGGCTGTTATAATTGCAACGCAACAAAGACAATCATCAGGAATAGAGTAGGTAAATCCTCATCGAAGTGAAAATACTTTTTCTTTTTGGAAAGATTTGATAAACTCATACCATAACTATGAAAAGAATTTTGTTTGTAGTCGGATGCTAACAATGTCCTTTTAGGTATATCTGGAACAGGGCAAAACACTAACGACCTGGCGGTACCTACATATGTAGTTGGTGTCGCAGGTACATTCTGTGGTGTTACGACTAGACTACTCATGAGGCCTTCAGCCAACTGCTTACCATCAGAAGATTTCTCTGTTCGTTTGCCAAATTACCCCATTAAAACGAAACTTAAAACTTTCAAATTTCCAATTTTTATATGAAAGGAATATAGCAAATTAGTACTCGACTATGAAGGTTTATAGGGAAGCACTAGAAAGAACATATAATAAGTCTAATATAGTCATTAAGCGTGTCAATGACCAACACGAAGACAAAAGTGACTTTTACATCAACCCTATATCCTACATAAGTTACAGCTGTCTAATAGCTTCCGTGAGTTCAGTTTAAAATGACCGGTCAATAACGTGAATTTCCTTGGCCGGGAATCGAACCAGGGCGTATCCGTGGCAACAGACGACACAACATATCGCTCCTTAATCATTCAGGAGCCAATAGTTTCAGGTGTAGGTAGCTTGTAACTGTGGTCGGTGACATTGTTTCTATCAAATAGAGTCTCTTTTGTCCAGAATTTTTGTTTTATTTCAATTGAAATGAAAAAGCACGGCACTATATATAAGTATTTAATTAGGGTAATTATTTATTTATTGTACACAATGTCATGAAGTTGATACAAAAGGCGGAACTTAATACCATGCAGCATTCTCCACTAGTTAACCTTTGGGTCAAGAAGATACCTAGTAGCTTTTGTTAAATCTTTTGATATTTAGATACTTATTGTTTGGTACTTAATTAAAATTTAAATTACTAATAGTCTAAAAATCAATACTTTCTTATATAGGATGCACAAAATACCTTGATTTGATTTGATTTGATTTACCTGACTAGCCAAATTAATCTAAACATCACACACGTTTATGGGATGTGTTATTAAACGAGTCCCAAATAATCATTTGGTACCTAGTCATCGAACAAAACTTATGACAATAAGTTGTGGTGCAGTCCATATTTTCGGCGGGACACTGACTAGTGAATAACCGAAACACCGCATGCTCCCACCTCGCTGCCAACGAAGCGAGACGGTACACCTGCGTGACAATGTTACCCCGTTGAATTGCTCAGAACATCCAACAAATTACAAGTAGGTTTAAAACAAAAGAATCACGATATTATTCTTTTCGTTATTTAGCAAAAAGAGACAGAAATTATCAACGATTATTCTCGTCCACTGGCACTGTCTGGCGTAGGTCAGGCCAGTCGACGATCTTCATTTATTTTTAAATTCAAAATTCGTACTTCGACTAAGCTTTTGATCTGTTTCGAGACGTGATCGACGTCATCAGAGCCTTACTGCCCCTATCCACATCTCCAATCCTCAAGAGTCCAACGCACTGCATGGTAACTGTACTGATGTTGTGGATGTGCATAGGCGACGCCGATTTAATTGCTTACCATCAGGTAGTCGGTTTGTTTGTTTACCGCATTATAGTTTTACAAAGTTTTTTTGTTTTTATCAGTGTTACAAGTTGCATGTTTAGAAAGACTAACCTGCATAATAAAGGGGCTCCTTGTTAGCGTGACGTTGGAATCAGGTCATTGCAGGAATTGGGACGATCGATAGCCTAAATATGGTAAATGATTCAGGAATTAAAATAAAAGCCGCTTTTAATACAGGTACAAATGAATATAATGTCATCCGTGCATGGGATCTTGGTTTTAAATACTTTTATTTTGCTGTTTTATTGGTTGAATTATTTTAAATGTGGCCGAGTTGGTGTAGGTTGATGTTATATTAATTAGATATTTAATATTGAGTTTTTAAATTTTTTATTTATCGATACATCTTGATAATGGCGAGGTCTAGAAAAGGCTTACCTTTATAACGTAGAATTTATAGGTAAATAACATAACTAGTGAAAAAATTGTTATCCCATAGGTTAATTAAAGGCATATTTTGGTGATGGTTTATCATTTAATAATCATGTGTATTTTCGTCAAATACCTCGCGGTGTTCACAATATTTTTAAAACATTTAATAAATCAATCCTTGATTCATTTTAGTTTGAAAGCAGAGAGTCTAACCCGCCACATCCGCTTCAGCGCACCGCTGCTAATATCAAGGGATATAAGTGATTCCCGGCTGTCACGGAGTAAGTAATCAATGGAGAAACAAACAATAAAAATGAATGTCGTTTTCAGTAATCAAATACTTATTCGATACATCTGCAAATATAAGACTAGTGATGTTTTCTTTAAAGACATTTTCAGTATAAGTAAAATATACTTAGGTACCTACTTATATATATTTTTTATTTGCTTCTTAGATATAGAATACTTACTTCTAATCTTATTCTAAAATTCTGCACGACAGCTAAGTTATTAAAATCGGCTATATTTAAATAGGTATATCTTTTGTTAAGTATAGTTGTGCCTGATAGTTTTCCCATAGCAATAACATAGGCTAACAACTTTCTAGGCGTCTTTAAGACTCCATGTGCTTTATTCTCCGTGGTACTAAAATAATTAGTAAGTTCGTGGTTTTGTGAAGCAGGAATATTATGAGACATATATAAATGTACATAAACGCTTCGTAAGTACTTACAACTAGATACATAAGTTATATGTTAGTGTTACACTAGTCTCACATTATAGAACCAACATGAAACTGATCAAAAGAGAGTAACCATGAAGTTTCTTGCTCGTTCTTCCCCATAGGAACGCCTTGCTCTTTAGAACAAACAAATAGGTTCACCAAGAGAACTGAGCGATCAGACCGACACTTTTATCTTTAAGTTTTCTTTGACGTTCAAAAGTACCTGTAAGGGTTGAAATAGATAATTTTGACTTTAGACTTTAGCTGCATTCTACCTAACAACTACTTAACATCACGTCATCAGCCAATAGGGGCCCACTGCTTAACAAAGGCCTCTCCTCACACGGAGAACGTATGAGCATTAATCACCACGCTTGTTCAAGGCGGATTGGTGATTTCAAACTTATATTTAGGAATTATAAGTCCAGGTTTCCTCACTTTCCTTCACCGATGTTTTCCTTCGCCGTGTGTTAGTGTTGTCTTATCTTATAAAGTTCATTATTATTATATCATATAGAATAGAATGAGTGCAAATTTTAGAAGGCTCACGTGATAGAAGACTTAACTTTCGTTACATCGCACAGTTCTAGATCCTGTAACTGCTGAATTCCTTCAGCTTTATGATAGCAAGATTTCCGGTACCTATTCTCACGAGTAGCGTGGGGTCTGGAGTTGAACCAGGTATTCCACAGTCCACAGGTCTTCAATGTTAAAACTCTGAATAGTGTATCCAGCAGTAATAATTATGTTTGTTGAGACTATTCGAATGCATAATTGGGTTGTGATTCACTTCTTTCAAAGTTCTGTAAATATTATAGTGTTCAAGGCACAAATAAAATAACAAGAAATAACTTTTAAATGATTTATTTTTCATCGAAAAATTATTATTTTCCGCTACAATTACATATGATTAGGATGACAATGACCCGATGTCGTGGTGACCTAGTACACGTGCGGATGGAATGCGTAAGTACACACAAGATGAAAGTGAACAGGGAGCTTACTGCCTTACTGCCTTAGCACTACAGCGTGAAGCAGACACGACGATGTTACACGTTACACGTTCTACAGTTCGAGAGAAACATACATTACAATATCAGGAAATAATATAATTGCTTTATTTTTCTGCACTCTATCATCTAAGTGATGTTACATCATAAAATCATCGTACTATCAAAAGTTGTGTACGTCCAACAGACATTTCACAAACTAAGAATAAGCGACAATATCTACGAGGGACAACACTCGATATAAAGAAAACATTATAGTACTATGTACTCAATTGTCCTAGAAACCCCACGCACTGCACAAATACATTATTTCACATATTTAAATGTACTCGCACCCACAATCTGCCGCCTACAGCCCACCTCAACAGGTATACTTACTATAAACAATAAATATAGACAAAACAAAACAGATGTTCGCATCCATAAAGTACCTACTATTATAACTCTTTTACAAATAAAATCTCCGAAAAATTCATCTAGTACGTGAACTTAAATTACAATATATACAAACATTTAAACATAATAATACGACAATGTATGAAGTACTCTTGTACCCTGTTATTTACAAAGAAAATGGTGCTATGCTAACACACGACAGAGACTATACGCCGGCGACTGCTAATCTATCAAGACGCCGGATTGACTAAATAATTACTTAAAATTCGTCGAAATAACCCAATATAACCTCTGTAACATTACATTATTATAATTTATATCTTAGTAAAGGATTCACAATAATATTTAACTACGTGCATTGTTTCTGCCAGACCGTATAAATTCTAAATCTACACGCAAATAATTCGACACTTCTCGACATGGCTGCTGCCCCGCTAGAGATCAAGGGAGCGCTATCGTCCTTGGGACTTTTCTATGAAAAACAAACACTCAGAAAGGGGCAGCCAACATATTATGGGAAACTTAGACCATTATAGTGTTGCCTATTATACTTTCTTTGCCATCACACAGCTCCGAGTACCCTGACTCATCGCTGCAGGCGCTGTCATTGTCCCCAGTGTTCTTAAACACTTCGGTTTCCGTGCTGGAGTTTAAGCTGTCTACATCGGTCAAGTTGTCTATGAGGGACTCGAACTTCCCTTCGAAGTCTGCCATAATATTCGTATCAGCTCGCAGAGGAGGATACGTGGATCTTCGCCGGAAGGTGTTTTTCTCGCCAATGGGGACGTGATTTACCTCTTCAGCAACGTTTGAGTCAGGGTTATTCATTATGTGAACAGAGTTATAGCTTCGGTTGCTGCTCCTAATGTCATTATGTGCAAAACTCTGGTCCAAGTAGGAGATATTGTTATCAACATGTTCTTTCTGGTCTTCCTGGGGGAACGGAGGCAGGGATGACGGCTCGGTGTCAGTCACCGTGCTGGCGGTCTCGCAGCCCGAAGAAACAGATCCGTCGTCGCTATCCGTGACGAGGTAGTTACTTTGCATGAGCGCCTTACAATCGCCCTCGGCCACCACGTTATCACTCAGTTCGTTCGATTCGGCAATCGCTTCTAGCAATCTAGTTTCCTTTTCTCCATCATTATGACTAGTATCATCGATAGGTCCATTCTTTTGGCTCTCCTTTGCCAGTAATTCGAGGAATTCGTCGGAGACTGTGACGCTATCGCTTCCAGAGTCAGAGAGCGTTCGGTTTATGACTCCCTCGGGGCATGATGTCTTCCGTGGGGACTTAACATCAGGTCGTCGTCTATCGAGCGTTTGCGAGGAATAAAAGTTGTCCATCGCCAAAGACGTTCGTGACCAGGGCTCGCCGTTCTGCTTAGCGTTCATCTCTGCTTCCTCTTCATCTTCTTCGGAACATAGTTCCTCAATAGCTCCTAATTTCGGAGCCGATTTTGACCTTTCTAACGGTGGTCTATAATTCATAGCTCCGACGCTAAGTAAAATCTTTCTGCGAGGCATACTCGGGTTTTCGTACACACTGTTTGCGAGACTGAGTCTTGCATTTTGTTTTGAGATTCTGTCCTTTTTGAACTCGCTTAAAGCTTGCTTCAATTTGATTTGAAGTTCCTCTGTAATCTTCTTTGATATTGATTCTTTGGTACAAAGGACGGCGTGGCATCGAAGCTCATGCTTAAGCTTCTTGCCTTCGTGTCGGTAAACCCAGCAGAAGAGCTTGGGGTAGTGCGGTGGGCTGGCACAGTATGTGATGCGGTGGGACCAGTACTCAGTTAGTCCATGCTCTTTGGTGAACCCCTTCAGGCCGGAGTTGGTGACGGACAGCTTCATCACCACGTCTGGTTTTGTTGACTGCTGGTAATTGCGCCACAGCGTCGCCAGTGGCTTCTCGACACAGCTCTCACCTGAAACAAGGGAAGTTTGATTATAATTTCATTTTGATAATATACGACTACATATATTCATCTTAATATACATCAATTGGCATTTTTCTGTATCCAACGATATTTTATTAAAATATTAAGTTATGTACCGGTTTTGCAAGTATCAATTAGTCAGTGTTTGGAACAAGAAAATCAAGTTTTGATGACCTAGCACGATGATGCATTGACTTATTCTGAACGCATTTGTATAAACAAAAGTATATGTAACTAATGCTAAAAGAATATGAGGAACTACATTGCTTCCTAAAATATGTATTTACATTTAATTGATAAAATCTAATCAGTTAGTAGACACGATAGGGTCGCCCACATGTACATTGTGATCAGCGTTGTGTATAATCTGTTATTATAATGATCTGTCGATCGAAACGTTTCGAGGTGAACGAGTGAGATTGTACGGACTAGCGAGTGAGATACATTTTATTAACGTGGTCTCCGTGACATGAAGCACGGTAATATAAAGTCCAGCCACCGACGTCACACGTCACTTCAATCGACGAACATGTGGAAGGATTTTAAATGTTTTTCAATACTACAAAATGGTAAATGACGTCATAAAACCGGCTGTCATAATAATGTTTCCATACATTTGGAATATTTTTAAAAATAATACGAAATGCTAATAAATCAATTAAAGATATTTGTACGATAAAATAATCTATAATACGGACAGTTTCTTTTTCAATTATCAACATTTTGAATAATAATAAACACATATTTTATTGGGTCTAAAATCGAATCAGTAATTGTAACGTTTCATTGTAAGTGGTATTTTATAGTCATTACACTCAAATCAAACACATATAAAGAAATTTCACCTTACACATCGTATAAATAAGTATTACTTTGCATTACGCAATAAAATTAGGACCCTTAAATGATACACTTTACAGTCGCTCATTTCGGAACTCGAAGCTAAAAGGAGTTTACCTTTGGCGCTCATTTTATTGCGTTATCTCACCGTTTATTTAAATTCTTATTTTATAATAGGCCTGGCTTTCGTAAATACTGTTTGCCGTCAAATTGAATTGTGGTGCTGTTTGGTTAGGACTCATTTAACTTAGCTATACATACTTAATCCCTTTGTTAAATTAAGAATTTCCTTATTAATAGTGTGGGAGAGTCAAACTTCGGCACGAACGGGCTGGCTCGAACAGAGTGATAACAAGACATCACGTGAAACGTGATATGGGACACGAGGTGTACTATGCTACATTATACCATCAATTGATCAGATGACTACTTTGTTATAGGCCTCCTTTACAGGACAGATGTTTGCTATAATATCTCTTCAGGGTAGGCTAGCTTGAGTTACCCGAGCGTATGGCGCCTTCCGCGTGCGCCTCAAAGAACCAATAGACCGCCACAGACGGGGCCCTAAATGGCTGATGTTCAGCCGGGGTTGCGGGGTAATGGGGCACCGTGACCTCGGCCCAGAGCAGGAGAAGGAACAGAGGGGTTTGTAGTCAGTAAGAGTCTGACACTCCCTCCCACCCGGCCCTGGGCAGGAGAAGTAATTTGATGATTTTCCCCTCACAAAAAAAAGTCTAGTTGGAGTTAAAAAAGTTTCGAAAAACATGGTAGGGTAACCAAGCCTATGCTACAATTGAGAAATCATCTTACTCAACAACAGGGAAGTCAGTAAAAAGCCGCAAAACGTCGAGATTTACGAGCTTTCCTCTATTGTTAGTTGCTGCTTAGGAAATACAAAGCAGTGGAGTCTCGTTATCTTAGCTTGCATCTGAGGAAGTTGAGAAACGGGGAAAAGTGTATGACACGCACGCGGAACTGGGGACGAATGCATTTCGTGGAAACTATGATAAGAACACCGTTTAAGTTTTGGTACTGCTTGTGCATATGTAGGTATGTATTCATCATCATAATCATCATTGTCATCAGCCTATAAGTGCCTAAAGCTGAGCAAAGGCCTCTTCTCACAAGGAGAAGGCTGGAACATTAATCACCATGCTATTATAAAAAATGTGATGTGTTGGTAATCTTTCTTTTTTACTGATTCTTCAGTCGAGAGCAACAACGAGGGCTTAGTTCCCAAATCCAATAAAGAACAATTCAGATTTGATTAGTGAACACCATATTAAATTTTATTTTGACCTTCATCATTGCACACGAACAGTGTTTCAAAGATGTACCACAAATCTATGACTAAGCTACATTTGATAAATCTTTATTTCTAGATCTTTCTCAGCTAGTAACAAAATGCAAGTTTTAAAAATAACATCCACGTGCGCATTTTCTTTATAAAATACCGATCATAAAACCCACGCGTCTTCGCGAGATGTTCTTGAGGAAAATGTGAAAATACCACTAGCGCTAGTGTGGCAACTAGAAAATGTATATTTTATATTGATACCTATGATTGATTGATATTACGTTTTATTTCAGAATTGTTAAAAGATTTATGTTTTATTGTATTTTCGTTGTTTACATTGAAAAAGAACATTTGGCGTTGGGAAAAAGATTTTCTCTGAGTACTTTTTAATTTTTTATATGGCATTCAAACCCTAATAGTAATCAAAAGCAGATATGAATTTAACACGTATTCCCTTATATACATATATACTTCAGCAGGAAACATTACTCCAATATACCTACTATAGCCTCGATCTTGCACTAAAATGACAGCTAGATATTGACGATACCAATATAACAAAATGTACCTACATCAACGCGAATTGTATGTAAACGCGGCAATAGAGATCGTGTGAACACATTGATTGCTATCGCTAAATGATTGCTGCGATGATTAGCAATAAGTACCGGGTCGTGAGCAACCTGTGCTAATGTAATTAGCTACACGATAATGTATAAAGACATGATTCGTCTGTGAATTGTAACGTATCAATATTTGTATCACGTTCACAGAATCGTGGATTAAGTTATTATTTATTTCAGATACTCTACACCAGTTCTAGACCGACAATTTATGTAGGTAACTGATCATTTATGCTTAATTGATTTTGTACTTGAATATCTTCTTAATGAACTATTATAAAATCCCAATAATTATGCGTCTAGGATGTTCTAATGAAGATCTACGTGTAAGCATACATTAATGTAATAATTCCTAAACATCCTGTTGTGTTAGACGGCGGCGCACGCGCAGTGTCGTAAACATTAACTTCTAATTATTAGCATTATAATCACGATCAAAACATTTGGTTGTCGTGTAATAAATAACTTAAAGTACTTTTTTTATGCAAGATCAAGAAATACCTAATCATTCCCTTCCCCAAAAAGGTCGACAATGCACTTATAACACCAGTGTTGCGAGTGTCTGTAAACCATGGGGATTGCTTACCATCAGTGATGCGTTTGCTTGTTGGGCGCCCTATGCCATAAGAGAAAACCTATAATTTTAAGCTACGCTCGTCCTATATAAGTGTAAGAAACTATAAATGTTAGGTGCATGAAAAAAATGTGATACTCTGTCTTCCTCTTTGGGGACTTGAATGCAAGACATGATGATGTTGTGTTTGTAAACATTTATTTCGTGTAACCACCACGACAAACGTGAGTTTACACAAATAATATGATATTCACGATTTCACACAATCATGGTCATGATTGAATGTTTTCTTAAATATTTAGATTCGACTGCTGCATAATTCAAAGGAAAATCTTTTTGCCGTTAATTTGCCACCAAGTTACTCACTATTCCAAAGAAACTAACTATTAATTAAAAAAAAACAATAAATATAAAAAAATAAAAAATACCTAATTCCATGCTTGGCACACAAATAGCTAATTCCAAACTCCTTATAAGAATACTTTTTACAAAGCGGTTGCAGAATAGACCGCATATTTGAAAATTCATAAAAGGAACGTTGGAACATAACTGCCAGAAATGGCTTTGGCGACAATTCCTCGAGATTCGTTACAAATACAACTGGCTGGCATCATTAGTATTTCCTGGTTCTGACACAAGATTGATTGAATATAGGCTCAGTTATACATTGAGTTTATTTATGTGCTTGATACCTATATATCTCACTAATCTATCAGTTACAAACTCGATTACTAATACTGTGATATCCGATATTTAATGTAGTCTTGCGATATTCTATTCCAAGTTACATCATTGATTTAACCGCTTAGTGTTTGGCAAAATTACTTTAAAAATAGAAAGTAGGACGAACTCATTTTGTTTAAAGTCAACGGCTTTTAAGATATCAAAAGTTCGATAAATAATGTATTTAAAAATATTAAGGAATACAAAATAAACCCGAACTACATGAATACCATTATAAAAAAAACTGCGTACAACAGTTAAAAGTGTAATTCTGCAATAATTTGCACATGTCACTGCGCATGGGCACGGGTTGGGCAAGTGTGACGTCATTATTGTAACGGCCTGGCTAGTGTTGCGTAATGTGGTATTAGGTGCGACCACTACCGGAGATGTTGCGGTAGAAGGATATAATGTCTACAGTGGTTTCAAGTAACTGCTCGGGAACTTACTGTTTATCTTGATGTCTGGTCTTTTTTGACCTGAAATTATAGGTAGCCTCTAGCTACTAGCTGTTTCCAGGCTTTGTGGAACAAAGCGAAATATTAGGGACCGAAGTTTTGTAGCTGCGTATAGACAGCTGCTACTCCAGGGGAGGGAAAGGATTGGCCCACCGATAACCTCACTCACTCGGTGAAACACAACGTGTGGTTGTTGCATGTCGGTTTTGTGTACGACCGCGGTATGACTACCGTTGAGCTGGCGAATTCGTGCCGAAAGTCCTCCCATACTAAACTTGTATAAATTTGTGATAACAATTTGTCTCATCAACGATTACTACTCCCTTATTTCCATCACTCATTAGTTTCACTTCAAGTAAAAGAGAGTTGTCTGTTTGTACACATTTCCCCATATCTCAGTTATAGCAAGAATTAACAACCGCCTGATTATATCTCAAGCCTGATTTCCAACAGCAATTACATCAATGATCTAT